CCTGCTGACGTGGCCATACAGAAGGGTGGTATGTGACTCTTTGAGCGAACATATCGTCTTTCGTGACTGCGCCTGTAGACTTGATGCATTTGTGCCAAGTCTGATCTCCACCATATTTGGTTTGCCTGATAAAAGGGTCGACTTCAATACTCAAGCTGTCATATGACTTCGCCATCTACGCCTACTCTTTCAAATTGCGCCTCTTCCTATGCATTTATTAGTCTTTCTGGCTTGAGCTAGTGCTTTGCAGCTTTTATTTAAAGCGATTGCTAATGATGTGGAGCAAGTCACGCCCATAAAACAGAGAATAAACCCACCTCTCACCTCATTCTTCCCATTATCACTGGGAGCGACACATCAGCTCAAGTTTACTTGCGGTAGCCAGATGTCATCATGTCAACAATAGGAAGACATAAGTGGGAAGAAAGGCAAAGGAGAATGGAATTTTTTATAAGGTTTAATATTTATTTGACAATAAAGAGATAAGTAGGGAACTACCCTCAACATGCATAGATAGTATGCTTTTATGCACTCGAAATTAGGAGTATGGGTTCGGGTTTTGGAAATTAATCCACACCGACAACTAAACTTTATAGCACTTTTTATTTTTTGGTTTGCGACAAGGTTCTTTTAGTGTAGAGCCTCCCTTCTGTGGGTTTATAACAGCTATGGTGCCTAGCCCCTTTAGAACCAAAGAGATCCAGTGGAGCGCTTTGGGGAGAAGGCATATGAACCTTCCGTAGGCGCACTCTTGGTTTCCCCCCATGGATTCTAGAACTGTTGTTACTCTACAAAGGCACTTCATGGAAAGTAGATACAATACTTGTTGATGACATGTTTGGATTTTATCGAAATAAAGTTAATTCATCTCGAATCTGCTAATATTTTTGGCTGGTTGATCAAATCTGGCCATTTAAATACCTATCCCTTACTGACTTATGATACTTAACTGGGTTCTCTCAAATTGACCTTTGCATCGCCATTCGGCGCTAACCAACAACTTGGCCAGTTTGGACCCTTTAAATCGACGGAATCACCTCCTAGAAACCCTTACCTTGATTCCATTAACTAGGTCAGATGTACTTTTTGGCGATCAAACTGACTGGCGGTAAGTTTTGACCGCCATACCATTAAAAGCGGCCGCTTGCAAGTAGAGCATTTCTACATTAAAAATAACCTGTGCGAAAGGTAATGTTCTCTCAATTGCATTATCAAAGTGCAGTAAAGCAGAGTGGTTGATGCGAGGGCAAGGTTAGAAAGAGAGACGGGGACGGACAGCCAAACCTTGGCGAGCTTGTTACTTATCAACCCTGCCGAAACAGGAGATACGTCAGAGTATTGGATTCCTGTGAGGAAATCCACCCTATAATCCTATCAGCATACTTTTTACCACAGCTAGTGATGGAATACATGACCCAAGTTAGAAGCACTTTGATGGACTCTCAGTTATGCTTATGGGTGGACAGGTAGCAAAACGGATGAGGGATTTGTAGTTTACTTATATCTACTCCTTGAGGAGGCAGTTGTTGTCGGATTTCGAACGGGACAAGATTTATTTGATGCTGAAACATTTGAATGCATGACCTTTGAAAGCTAGCGCAGGGTGCATGGCAACGGTAACCTAACACATGCAGTAAATGCCTGTACTTAGTTGATGGGGAGGGGGCTATCAAACCCCGGATCAAGGAGGACCTACGTGCACCTCCTACAAAACCCCAAATGCAACAATCTTGGTGATACTGGAACAACACCAAAAGGAGTGGATTCGGTACCCCTTCAACTAAAGGGATTCATTAGTAATGGAAAAGTAAGGTTTAAAGGCATATTTATTTCTTAAAAATACACATAATCTTACAGCTCATCAATCCAGTAAGAGGGAAGAATTCCATACTTTTTCGCGATCTAAAAAGCACGCAATGCTAAATGACTTCACAAAAAATACAATGCTGGACTACAGAAGAAATAGCAAACCTGAGGTTTAATTTAATGCATCGGGTCTCGTGGGGAATAGATCATTGAAAAGTGGATCCTGTATTTCAACTATCTTTCGTCGTGAATTCGAGATCGGTGTTGTAATTAATGGGGGTGAAAGGGAAGGATTCTCATTCACCATATTATCCGACGGAGTTACGTCAACCTAACGCATCAAATCATTGACGCTGCTTTATCATTTACCCATTCTGTATCACCGGTAGGTGTCAATGCCTCGACTGAGTGGCAGCGCTGCCGAATGTGGACACCGTTGTGTGTTGGAGTCTAACAGAAATATTACGCATGCATTGACACTATTTAAGAAGTGTCTTACCTCATGTTTGGCGGTTGATAGGGCCCCGGCTTGCGAAACTCCCTATAGGCAAGAATCAAAGATAGGTAAAAGGACAACAAACCTTAACCCGATCTATTCTGTCGATGAACCGGAAGGTAGAAATGTGGAACTGGGTCATCAATCCCTTCGTCAATTTGAGACCCCTCTCCTCGCAAAACATGAACGCAATGTCATCAAGGGAGCAGATACTAGAAAGTTTATTACTGGTCCAATGAAGATATTGCAGTTACTTCAAAACATAGGGTTTGTAGTCCAACAACCACGTAAGGAACAACTCTACCATGGTATCAAGGCCAATCGGCTTATCTTCCATTGCTGCCGACTATCAAAACGGGCAAAATTGCATTAGGCAAGAGAAAGTAATCAGTCTCAGGAAACTAACCACACTCGCACATTACTACCCGAACAATATCATGATGTCTAACCTCAGGTATTCTTTGCAGCTTTCACCTGTCTGTGAGGTGCTTTGTGATTGCGAACGGTTACCGCATCTTCACATGCAGTGACTTACAGTGGAGAGGTAACCAGGCTCACATTTGCAAACTCTGTAATTTACAGCTATTACTGCTTCTAAGTTTGTACCAACTTTGTGAAGTTTCTAAGACTGTTTGGATAGAGAGACGAAAGCACCCGGTTTCGTAATCTTGAGCGTGATCAGAGGGGACAAAATCTAACAGGACACAAACAAGTACTGGAAAAAGAGAAAAGCACTAAACATCATATTTGTAATGAGAACATTGGGAGTCAAAGTCAACATGCTTGCGCAAAAAAGAAAGACACTTGGGCTTCGCAAACTCGGTGCAAGGGTTTAAGAGTTGAGGGCCGACGGACTTCATAATGGTTAGGGCGCAGAGGAAAGCGGAAATATTAGGCGCCAGTGTAAAGAGATAAAAAGTAGATGTAAAGTAAACCGATAGGGTAAACGACTAGACTACAGCGCTGCTGGAGATTCTCCATGGAGAGCAATTTGCCCGCACTGTAGGCAGACCACAGAGTGCCAATAAACTGCAAAAATAAAAGATTGGTAATTGATAATAATAAAAACACTGAATGCAAGAAAACTGTCTTTTGCTTAATGGGACGGGTGAAGTAGCTCAGCTGCACAATGTAGTTATAGCGCTGAACACATCACTGCAAGGTAAACGATAGTGAAAAACAGTCTGCTAATTTGTTGATTGTCAGAACCTTGAACTAGTACAAAATAGCAAATGAGTCTATAAAAATAAATACGTGATGCATCCTTTGGCGGAAGTAACCAACTTTGTAAGAGTAAATATGAAATTTCAAGGCCCGAAATCATGAGATCAGTTGAGAATATAGATAAGGTAGAAACGATAGAAGATCTGACACACAGCAATAAGAATCCCAAACTTCCGAAAGCCTCCCAAATTGCAAAGAGCGCCGATAGCGCACATTAAGAGAAGTGGAAGGAGGCAGTAACCGATTACGCCAAGGCACTGAGCATAGGCGACTTCGCCTCCCAACGATCGTGCAATGAAATAGACGATAAAAGAACCAGCTAGCCAGATTGTAAGAATCCAAGCGACGACCCTCAATTGCCCAACCAATGAAACAAGAGAGAAGAGCATAACTACAGTTAAGGGTCCCCAGAAATCGGGGTTCTCACGAATTGACGCCGGATCAAGTCCAGAACGAACACAAGGAAGAATAACTGCCTTCATCTTTTTTCCAATTGTTTTGAGGTCAACGTCTAGTTCCTCCCTGCAAGTATACATAGCAAGACTAAAATTTATACCGCACAGCTTATTCGTGTAGAGGAGTTGGAGAGTCTTACAAGAGAGGTTTATCAAAGTCACCATCCTCTGTTTCAACTTCTAGCATCCAACCGAATCCCCGTCTCCTTAACAGACTTTGTACTGTACCATCGGATGAACTCGCGAAACCCTCTATGTTGCCCGTAAGTGACGACGTGTCTGAATTGCAAATAGTATGACTTAAGACAAATACAAACATGTATCAGATCCGCTAGATGGCGAGGGTTCAACAAACGCAAGGTTAATTGTTGTATGCGAACTGCCCTTTGACATAGAAGTTGGCAACATCACTCCAGCAGGTCGACAGTTAAAGCGCATACAAAATTTAACAGTGCAGCACTTTCTGACCAATGAAATGGTAAAGGCAAGCGAAAGATGTTCATCCAGATAACACAACGGACATTTTTTGATTTCACGTAATTTCACACACATTCTAGACTTAAAAAAGAACAAGAAGAAATACGTTTGCTACGATTGGAAAAGAGCATAAAATACCAACCCATTTCTATAACAAGGTATGGGGATTACACCATGCTCATACGAAACAAAATAAAAATTAATTATCTGATCCTAAAAAACAAGCACAATGAAATGCGCTACGTCGATTACTTGACGGTAATGATGCAAAAAGATGCCAGGCCTTCGATTGCCTCGAAGCTACCCTGAAGACGAAATAGGGCATAACACTCAGGCAGAATATATATTTGACATACAGAAGGTATTGGGACAGCCATGTAATATGATAATGGCTTAACCATCGGCGTTGGTGAGGCACCACTTTTGGACTTTTGAATTCGCTTTCTTGTACCCCGACGGGTGGGCTTGCTTTCGGGCCATGCCAACAGCCCAAACACCTTCTCTGTGTTGAATGTACTTATTCCGTCCCAGTATTGTGTCTTCTTTCGTCTTCAGGAAAGTGTCAAGGTGCTATAACACGATGGTTAAGGCAAAGTGGCTTCATAAAGCCGATTGTTAAGCAACCAACATATTACAGGTATATTCTCCATTTAGCCAATTCAAAAACTGTTCCTAAAATACACTACGTAATAATTGAATGGACCTTTAAGGGGAAAATTTCGGTTATTAGGGTGATAAATACTCCACGAAGCCATTTCTGCTGGGTAAAACGGCCTCTGGGTTATGCCGGCATTCCTCAGCCTATATCTACGTCAGCAATACATATTCAAATTAAATATTATATCTTCTCTCGACTTCATGGTAGACTCAAAATGCCATGATAATAACAGCGGAAAGTGGGTCTGGTTCTAGAGAACAACAATTGCCATTTCAATTACCGAATGCTAAATCCTAACGTGACGGAAGAAGGGTATATTCTGTAGATTCAAGGAACAGTAAGGGCCCTTAGAAGGAAGGCCAAATGCGACGTCTATCTTCAGCAACTGCACCAGTTTTATGTTCTTCAGGAATGTTATTAACACCTAAAGCCGAACCTGTAGCAACTTTTTGAAAAGTTCTCCACAGAGTTGTCTACAGCACCTAAATAAAGATGCCAAAAAGCAAAATACGACTCCTTCTTCGCCTTTCTACCGCCTAACTATAACCCAGACGGGTGTAGCCGGACAGCAGTAGAGTTAAAAAGTAGCAATTGTAAACAAATGCCTAATATGGTTTAATACTTACATTGTTTTAATGGGCCTCTCAGCTAGGATGTGGGGATACAAATTGGACTACGTAACAGAGGAGTCCACGTCCTGCAAGCCCGAGAGAGCTTACAAACAACACCCCCCTGAACTCTGTACCAGTTCCACACATTCCCTTGTCCCAATAAATATGTTAAAATCAAACCAACCCAGTTGTTTCAATAGTACGAGGAACATGGGAGAGGAGACCTACCAGCTTCATCCTACACTAATTCCAGCATAATTATTTTAAACCATGACCTTCGTTAAACAGCTTTACTCACAGGCCATTGTTCAAGACTCGTGATGGACATGCATGATAGCCAGCACGTCGCCCTTCCCAAACAGAGTTCGAAAACATTGCAAACCTTTAAATCCAGTAATAGTGAAAAATCAGTTATATTGTGGTCAGATATGTACTCTGCTGCTCATAAATCTAGTAGCTGGTAGTACTAGTACATAAGGGTTTTTCGTACGGCATCAACTACGTTGTGAAGGCAGACGCAAGGTATTTATTTATGGGAAATTCGTGGGTGGCGCTTATGAGAGTAAGGCTATGTAATACTGGATGACACGGCTACTGGGGTATGCCGGTAACACATTAACCCCTTTGTACACCACTATTTTGTATTTTGCCTTGTGCTATGCCCTTCTTTTACTTCAGGCTCTTAATTTCCGCCTGTTAAAGGTTCATTTATCTTAAGTATGCTCAAGTCGTACGCCGCTAGGAATATAGCTGCTTGATTTTAAATCAAAATAATCCCAGACTGTGAACGTTGATTTTACTTTAAACGTTTAAGTCTAAACCGCCTACAATTCGAGAAGTATGGTTGTTTTTATTTCCCAAGTTTTCTAATGGCTTGTTTAAATCAGTGCAGAAACTAAATGGATGCTCACTTGGCTTTGTAACTGCGTCGGGTTCGTACTTGTTCGGGTTGTGTTCAATCATTTTTATTGTCTGGAAAGTGTTCTGATGTAATTGACTATCTGTGTGGTTTTGTTTTTGCCACCATTTTCGAGGATACTCCAATTGCTAGGATCAGTCTCTTCTGTCTACTTTTCATCAGATATTATTTGCATTTGCTTCCTTGTAGGATGTTTAGGTTTGCGTAATGGATCTTATTGCTCCTATTGCTGCACTGCTTAATTAGTAAACACTTCCCAATCCTTGTACTTTTAAGCTGGCACTCATTTCAGTTGGTTTTTCCTGTCGGAATGTCTTCTTCGGAAGCTACTACGCGCAGGCGTGTGAAGCTTTATATGCTAAATGAGGAGCGACAGTGGGATGATAAAGGAACTGGACATGTGTCCGCTCTCTACAACGATGCGAGTTGCATCTGTCTTGTCGTTATTTCGGAAAATGACGGATCTCCTCTTCTGGAATCAAAGATTCAGCCAGAGACCGCGTATCAAAAGCAGCAGGAGACACTTATAGTTTGGTCTGAAGGAGAAAATGTAGATCTTGCTCTTTCTTTCCAAGAAAAGGCTGGGTGTGATGATATATGGGAAAAAATTTGTTCCGTGCAGGGTAAAGACCCTTCGGTTGAAATTACGCAAGACGTCGTGGACGAATCTGACGACACTGATGATGTCGAGGCCTACTCATTAGTCACTAATCAAGCTCTTCAAACGTTTGAACTTCCCCCTTGTGAACTTTCACGGCTAGAAGAGATCGCTGAGGTATTTAGTACGCATTTGAACCTCATTCAAAAGCGTGAGCGCATTGTTGCAGCGGTTGATCGTAGTAATTATGTCAGACAGTTGCTTGATCTTTTTCACAAAGCTGAGGACCTGGAAGACCTGAATTCATTGCATTTTTTGTACGATATCTTCAGACAGCTTATCCTATTCAACAAACAGGTTCTTTATGAGACTCTTTTTTCTGACGACGTTATATTGGACGTCATTGGTATTTTGGAGTACAATCCGGGAGGCCGAACACGACATCGTGATTTCTTGAGAAATCAGGCAAATTTCAGAGAGGCGTTGCCACTTCACAACTCGAAGCTAATAAATAAAATTCACCAAACCTACCGAGTACAGTATATTCAGGATTGTTGTTTGCCACCTCCAAGCCTCGTCGATGAACAGTCCATGTCTGATTTAAAGTCGTTCATTTCGTCAAATAAGATGGAGATTCTGAGTGCTTTGCAAGAAGACCGTGAGATCATGCTAAGGCTGTTCACATGTCTTAAGTCTCCCGAAACTTCTGACTCACACCGACGCGAGTTGGCTCTCTTCGTGAAGGAGTTTTGCAATCTCTCTGTACAGACTGATCAGAAGGAGGCATTTCTGGCCACCTTGTCCGCTCATGGCGCTCTTTCCACGGTAGAGGTACTTCTTTCCAACAACGATCATGACGTCAAATCAGCTGCTCTGGTGATTCTTCAGGCCTTTGTTGAAAATCAGCCGTCAATAGTACGTGAGCACGTGTGTAAGGAGGGTGCCAGGCAACATCGTGACGAGAACATTTTGATAAATTTGATGATTACGCAGCTCTTAGAAGACTTCGATCCAGAACTTGGTGATGCCTACCAACTTGGATACATGCTGCGTATTCTGGTTGATCCCGATAATATGACTAATGCATCTGCGGTAAGTACGTTGATTTCACGCCCGTTGTCTTAGTTTTTGCCATTTATTGTTGTGAGTATCTCATTTGGTATTTCTCAGTTCTTTAACTAACTGGTTTACTTTCGTAGCGAAGTGAGAAGTCAGAGTTTTTGAGCTTCTTCTACAAACGTTGCATAGGCACGTTGACAAAACCCTTATTCGACAACACCGCTCATGGTGCGATTGGTTGTGGTAGGCTCTTTTTGTAATGCACAACTCGATAGACAACTACCATTCTGCACTTGTATTAAGTAACGTCTTGGACTTGCTGATTTTTTGCATCGAGACCCATACCCACCATATGAAAAACTATTGCCTTCATCGAGATCTTGTAAAGCGTGTATTGGTTTTGCTGCGTTCAACACACAAGTTTCTGGTCCTAAGTAAGTTGGTTTGGTACTAATAGACTCTTAGGTGCTCTAAGGTTGTTGCGGAAGATGATTCAGTTGAAGGAAGAATTCTACAATCGATACCTTATCAAAAACTGTTTGTTCAAGCCGGTGGTAGAACTGTTTACCGCCAATGGACATCGATATAACATGATCGACTCAGCCATCGTTGAATTGTTTGAGTACATTCACATGGAGGATATCACGTCGCTTATTAATTATGCTGTGAATGAGCACTGGGATGTTCTAAATAAAATCACCTATGTGAACACGTTCAAACGACTTAAAGAACGTTACGATGCTAATAATAAACCAGGTCGAACGGATTCATCTAGTATCTTCGGTCAGACGGTTCCAACAGGCATGTAAGTCACTGCTTGACTGGTGGAATTATGTTACCCAACAGTTCTTTCCTAATTGAAGATGCGTCATGCTCCCTTAAACATTGGGTCACCAATGGCCCCTCTCTAATATCAACTGCTTGGAAATGCTCTGACTTTCTCCAAGTCAATTTTCAATCTCCTAAACCTTCGCATATTAACTATCGTTCAAATTTTAGTTATAACAAGCAATTTAAATGGTTTGCTGTTACACTTGTATCGGTATTTGCATTAATTAGACAAGAATTATGTAAATCTTCGTTATGAATCTTGCACTCAAGTTTTGTGGTACTTTTATTATTAGTTCATTCAATTTCACTTCATTACGTCATTCACCTTAACAATTGCTTTTCTTTGAAGGCTCTGGAACTCAGAGTTCTGGACCATAGACATGTAAATTTGACTGGTTTTTAGACCGTCTTTGAGGGCCACGGTTAATTCACGATTTGTCCGCGGACCAGCAGTTTTTGATGATGAAGAGCAGTGGTTTAATCAGGACGACGAAGACGAAGATGAAACCGAAATATCAACTCAAACTCAGCCTCATGGACAATCCTCAATGACCCTGGAGAGCATACCGTCTCGTTTTTTTACCACATCCAGCAGCCCCCCTGCGCCATCTTCTCCCAGTGGTTCACCCAAGGCGCTCCACCACTCGCCCGTGCAAAGCACCACTGCGGCAACGACAACCCCCCCCTTCACCCTTTTGATACCGTCCTCGTCGTCCACCTCTGACTCCTCCCCGGGGCCCCTCATAAATCGTCGCATTGGACACACTTCGTACCCTGCGATCTCTATTCACATCAGGTCCACTCATCTGGGTGTCCTCAGCAACACGGAAAACGAAAATGACGCTAACGTTTCATCGCCGTCGCGAAGTGCACTCAAACGACTCTTCGGACGCGGTGAGGATGACGATGCAGCTGCCTCTTCGGGTGATGGTAGCAGTGGTGGAGACGAAAGCGGTGATGGCGACGAAGAAGCCCTATCTGTCAAACATTCCAAGAGGCCATTGGTTGAGGAACATGGGGATAGCAATAATAACAACAGTAGTTCTGCTGATGCTTCAGGAACTATCCCCGAGAAAACTAGGAAGGAGGTAAGTATTGAGAATAGCGCTAATTTGTTGCTAGTTCTGAGTTAGATAAGGCCCACTTTCCCACAAATGTGATCTCTTCATTAGGGTGAAATCGTTGATGAGTCCGCTGATATCGCCAAGAGCCCTATGGTCGGTCTTGTCGACTACTCTGACGAGGAGAGTGATGAGGAGGAGTCTAATCTAGGCTCGACGGGTGCAAAGTCACCGCCTGCTACTTCGAGTGCCACCGAGGAGCCAAAAGTGGCTAAATCTACTGGATCGTCGTCGTCCTAATTTGAACGACCTCTAGATTTGGACCTTTTTTGTAAATATATCTGTGTAAATGTGCTTTTTATCAGGACATGCAATTCCTTTTCTTTCTCTTCATCGAGGGTGAGACATTACCATCTCCACCTCGTTTGTGTAAAGTGCTGTTGCTTCCCCTTTCTTTCCCTTCCTCTTCTAATTGGCAGCCCTTTTCAAAGCCTCTTGCTGTGCTGATGGGGCATCGCTATCATTATTCGTAAACACACCACTTGCACACACTTATACAGACTATCTCCGACGATCCTTTATACCAACGGTTTTATTCGAACGAGTTTATACAAATTAAGGTTTATGTTTTCATTGGAGCTCTGTGCTAAGTGCTAAATTTCTAGTAGAAAGACACGAAAATTGCTAGAGTATCTTGAAGTTTTGTGTAGAGTGAATTACTTGAGTTTAGCTTGGCGTAGGTGATTTTGAATGGTCTTGCGGTGGTGAGCTTTGGGTGTTGGAGGCGGAGGGATGGGACGGGTGGGGGTGCCTTTCTGCCTGATCCTGGTCACCCGTGCCCGTGGTGGTGTCGATGTCTCTGTCGGGCTCGGGCGCCGTTCCTGGTGCGAGTTATCGTTTGCCAGTGGCATTCGCTCCAGTTCTCTTCTATCGCCTACAAAATTTCGGAATTCTTTTGTAGCCCTTTAGGATTAGATCACTACCCTCACATTGGAATGGTGATATGTAAACGTGGTTTTATTATGCGCCTCTTCGACATGTTTGGGCGAAATGCGTTAATACACTGGCACTCAAGCTGCCTTGGTAATTATTTCTTACGACTAAAGTCTAGTTTATTGAAGGGTGAATTGATACGGGTCCTTTAATATCACCTTATCAGCTGGGTAGACTTCTTCGGTGAAGGTCTTTTGGGAAGCAGTGCTAAGCGCTAGACGATATTCTAGGGCAAACACTTCGCATGCATCGCTTTCTTTAGCAGTATTTACGTGGGTATAACAGAAATTGTATTCACCTATCGTAATGAGAGGTCATCCTTTTCAACTCTGTATCGCATAAAGTCTACTCAGACTGATCGAGTCTCACTTCATTACTAGTCAATTTGCAGAATTTGAAAATGTGGTGATTACTGGGGCTTGACGTGGCTTTGATTGGCTTGCTATGAATAAAGACAAAACTTCCGTTTGGCTTTCCATTCGGCGTGGATTTGTCAACACCACTACCAATTTAGGGCCTAATTTATTCCTCAAGAAGCTGAAAACTGTACAAGGATCAGAAGGTCACTAGCATGAATGGCATGAGCATATTTCTACGCCAACAGCGCAGTAATCGATTTCCGGGTGACTCAAAATACTTCTATTTCAATAAAAAATAATAGGTAATTTACTTTATGTTTTTTTATGCTATTGCGTGATCCCCGTGGCTTAGGGGCTTTTTTTATTGAAGAGGTCTCCACTGAAGCAAGTAAAAGTGGCAAACGTGACGCAACCGAAACGAAATTGCAAGTAGTCAAGGGGAGATCACTGTACGTTTAACTTCCGCAGCACTTCAATGCCCTCTCTGGTACGGTCGGGTACAGCTCGCGGTTATAGTGCGCAAGATTGCCTGCACACTAAAACGCCATCTGACGGTTATATATCTGGACAGTGAGAGTTTGGGATTGGATTCCTTGATTTAAAGTTTTTAACAAACATCTTTTT